CACAGCTCCATCAGCTCCCGTGGCCAATACTGGGGGGAGGACAGCATTCCTGTCTCACACGTCTTCTCACACAGCCACAGGCTGTGATGTCTCCTGGGTCCAATGGCTGCCATCCAAATGCCCAAGCTTACATCTTCACCCTGATAGGTCTTTAATATCCCCGAGTTGCTTGCAAGCCAGCCAATAATGTCTCTGGAAATCACATAGCCTGACCCGCACACAAAGGCAGGGTAGGCCGGGCTGGGGTACTCCAGTTCTTGCCATTTGCCAGTCCGGTCCACTGCCTAATTCAGTCTGAAATTTCCCCACCAAAAGTTAGGCCCATCCAGATTATTCTGGGCAATTCTATTAAAGATAGCTTCTAAGTCTATGTAACAGTCATCATCCCTCTTTAGCAACAAATTAAAGCTGGTTGTTTCCACAGTCCACCTACAGAAGTTTAGTAATTTCGCAGGAACATTTTGGTAAGTGTCAACAGCATCCACAAAGACAATGTCACCATAGACTCTGCTTTCCTCCTTCAATAAGGCATCTTGCTCATGGAGATTCTTCATATATTCAACAAGTTGCTGAGACCCAGAGTGAAGGTTATGTAAGAGAGCATCGCCTTCCTGAATAGTATAAATAAAACCACTTGCAACTCCCTCCACACCTTCCATAAATTCATGAGGCAGCACACCCTCCCCAGCCGTAATGACTCTGAGAACTCCCCTCCATCATTCACTGTTACTCTGTGAACATTTCTTGAGGGGAGGCCATGCGGATCTTGGATCTCCCACATTATTATACCTTCAAAGCTCTCTGGTAAGATGAACTGTTTCACAGGCTTGTACCACAGCTTGGTCACTTGAACGCCACAGCTCCTAGGACTAAAGCGAGCCATGAAGAGGGCCTACTCCTGTTCCACCTGATAAAGCTTCACTGTGATGTTCCTCTGGAAACTTACATCACTGGCATCGTAGAATACTCCAAGACTGGTGATAACAATTGGGTAGAGAACTTGGAAGCTCACACTAACAACTTGGTCCTCAGAGAACTCCGATGTAGCATCTTCAGTAAGACTGAACGCTTCAATTTCCTGATTCAAAACTGGACTTGTGATGTTGAGCAATCTGCAGGAGTAAGGGTTCTCCCTGTCTTCCACAGTCACTTCACAGCCATGAATACCTATTATGAACTTCACAAGCACACGTTGACTTAATGCTGGATGTTCTAGCAAATGCTTCAGCCAGGTGTTTCTTATCACATTTCGAAGTTCGTGGTTATTGCGAGCTGACAATACACCGACGACCACATCATAGTGACTAGACTTCCACTGAGCAAGTAAGGCAGACTGATCTGCCAGGGCGGCCCCAGAGCGGCGGGTGGGCGGCGGGGAGCACAGCCGCAGCCAGAGGTGCAGGGCGGGCCCAAGCACGCACTGGCACAGCAGGACCAGCCAGTTTCGCATTGGCTGCTCCTCCGGCTCCACCTCGCGTCCGCGCCGCGGGCAGGGCTCGCCCGCGTCCGGACTGAGAGCTAGGGAGCCCGCTATACCCAAGCCCGACGGGCTGCGCCCACGCCCGCGCGACCACTCCAGCGCGCCGGTCCCCGCGCCCGCCCGGACCGCTCTGCTCCAGTCCGCGCTTCGGCTCCCTCCGACCGCGCTCGGCCGCGGCTCCGAGCTCTCAGTTCTTTTTGATAGTCACATGCAAAGACCTCATATATGGGTTCTCAGGATAGTCGAACGCATTTAAAACAACATATGAGGCATGATAGTCTCAAGGCTTTCATAGGACTTACAGATGAATTATTTAAAGTTTGATGGCATCAGAGTTACACATGTTTGGGCTTCTGTACATATTTCTGTGTATTAATTTTTAGTTATATATTGTATTGTAATTATGTTGATAACTAAATATCCATGAGATAGCCCAAATTTATTTCTTCACAGGACTAGCAGTGAATTTTTTATTTTATTTTATTTTATTTTATGACATAAACCATATCTGTTTTAGCCATGTTCTCTCTTTTTTCCCCATTTTTGTGTTTTCTTAAAAAAGGGAATCTGGTTCTCCGTGAGATTCTCTTTTCTTTGTATTAGGGCTCTACAATTACGTTCCCTTCCATCGAGACAAGGGGAAAGGATTGGTCCTCAGGCTAGGAACTGTGGAGGAAAATGAGATGCTGAGACATCTGCTCAGAATGACTTTTTGAGAATAAAGAATAATAGAATAAGTCTCTTTAACCCTCTTCCTTTTTAATTTTGTTTTTTTAAAACAGGTCCTACTGATGTATGTTATTGCAGTTTATATCTGTCATTGTATCACCTGTGATTGTCCTGGCCAAGCTTTAATATGGTAAAAAAAAGTGAGCCTTTTCTCTTCATCTTTGGGTTCTTTCTTCTGTGCTTTAAAGACATAATAGGAAGTGAGTGTGGTGGATTCAGGGAAAAGAAAGCCTGAGTGTGAGAGTTTGTCTATCTTTGAATATTTCCTACTCTAAATTATCCCTTGTTTTTAATGGTACACATGGAGAAGAAAGATTATCAAAGTCCCAACACGCCCTGCTTCAGGTTTCTACATAGATGTCATTTTTCTGTCTTGTAAAATGGAGATAGCATGTCCCTCATCTCACCAGGGAGTCATTATTTATCTGCACTTTATCCCAGTGCATGGACTTGAGTTCATTGCTCTCTGCTTGTCTGAGAACTGGACCAGGGCTCAGGTGGCCCTCTCTGGCTCCTAGTAATAATGATTGCTCTTTATCTCAACTGCAGAGGGCTTCCTAGAATGTTCTTTGCTGAAATGTGAGCCACTAAGGAAGTCAAGGATTTTTTAAATTGGTCTCAACTAAGGAGAAGCAGTTTCTAGGAGTGAATTTCAAGATCAGTGCTGCAATTTAAAAAAGCATGAAAGGCAGGGTGAACCTCTGTGTCTGAATTTCTGAGGAAAAATAAAGCACTACAAAATGGGGAGAAAGCAGGGGACAGAGCCTGCAATGGGAAGTTTGCCCCATGTGAACCACCCAGTGAGAGCTGGCAAGGCAGAAGCAGTTGGAGCTATAGACCTGAGGTCTTAGTGATGCTCTTCCCCACATTGTTCTCAGTGAGCAGGAAGGAACCACTTAAGACCCCCCATACAGAGAAACCTTTCAGACTCTCTGTCCTGGGTTTCTGTGCCAAAGGTAAACGAGGAAGCAAAGCAGTGATCACTGGACAGGCTTATGTGAAAACAGCAAGTTTACAGTATATTACTTGGGTGCAAGTCCCAGAGGGCACTAATGACATTTGTATAGAGCAAAGGGTTTGATAGAAGACAAGATGCATCACACAGGAATATGTTAAACATCAGTGGACAAAGTTTGCTGACTGTCTTTCACTTCAGTGGGCATATTTCTTGAGGCATCTAACATAAATGTTTGGGAGTCTCCAGACTTCTGAGGACTGGCAAGTTTTCCTACCCTGTCTATTCTCTTTTATGACATCCTGTAGCTGATGATTACAGGTGCTGAGCTGAGTATTTGCTTAGAACAATTGTTCTACTCCCAAATAGGTTGGGTACTAGAAGAGTTGTGTCCAATTTATGCCTTATACATCCCTCTTTTGCCTATTAACACTCATTTATTATTTTTTGGTGTACCAGGGATTGAACTCAGGACCTTACATTTACCAAGCAAGCACTTATTCTCCTGAGCTCTCTCCTCAAAAAGAGCTGAATATTCTTGATAAATTCTGTGTTAATTGTTTTGACATCTGTCACCGTCCCGAGTCTGATGTCTCTCTCTCTCCCTGTGTCTCTCTTTCTGTCTGTCTCTCTGTCTCTGTCTCTGTCTCTGTCTCTGTCTCTATCTCTCTGTCTCTCTCTATCTCTGTCTCTGTGTCTGTCTCTATCTCTCTGTCTCTCTCATTCTCTCTCTCTCTCT